GGGAACCGATCGGCCGTCCCACGTGTCGTTTCGTGATTGGGCGAATATCCCCGTTAATTGTTTATTCCGTCATTTTCAGGGGATAATCATTTCCTTACCCGAAATGATCCGGGATTTTGGCTGCCCAAAAAAAAAATATTATTAATTAATTTAATCAAAATGTCGGGGCGCGTGATCTCTTAATAGTGTTCACGTGCATAAGACCGCGCTTGGCTCGTGAGCCGTCACGGCTCGGCGTTTGTAGTTGTTTGTCTAATCAAGTTTGACAGCTTTCTGACCCAAAAAAAAAAAAAATTTCACAGCCTTACCTTCTTTTTTTGTTAAGGAAAAAGCCAAAATAAAACTTGAATTTTCAAACTATGCCGACGGATTAATCTAAAAAGAAAGCTACGCCGGCGGTAACACGTTTATCTTGAATTTTTTCGTGACGTTTAAAATTTCGAATTATGCTTATTGTGACAGATTTATCCTAAATAATAAAAACTTGCATTTATTTAACACATTTACCCTCCCTCCATCAAGGTTCTTCAAATGATTTTTTATGGCCAAAACAGCGTTATTTTTGTTTCGCTTAAGTTACGTGGACATGTCAACACCGTTTGTTTTTTAGATTTTATGTAAGCAGATACAAGTATGACGGAAGGAAAAAATGTGTCACGCAGGTACAAGTTTGGATTTTTTGTGTCGCGGAAAAAAAATTCAAGACAAATGTGTCACAATTGACATAGTTTTGTGTTTTCAATAGATTTTACTCTTTCTTTTAACGCCGTATATCGAATCAGTTTGTGCCGATTGTTCTAAAACTTTAAATCATTAAATAAATACGCAATTCAATATTGAAATACTTCGACACTTTCCCACGCGACCTCTTTATCTAACGCCATGTAATATTTTTTTTATGAAATTACTGTCAACTGTCTTAAAAGTTTAAATTATAAAATGAACGCGCGATTTAATAATTAAATACTCTCAAAACACATTTAGCATCCGACTGTGATAAGGACTTCCCAACAAATTAAGGCGAATTCGGGACGAATCAGCAGCAAAAGTTCCGGGACCCGAGAAATGGAGCACCCCCGTTTTCGAAATAAGGCAAAAAAGGAAAAAAGGGGCATTAACATAAAGTCCCACCGCCCGTCCACCAAACTTTGTAGGAAAAATCATGGGAGTGGCATGTAACAATCCAACATATAGATGGAAGGCCTGCTTTTGCTTCAACTTTGTCCTATTTTTTAAAGGGCCTAATTTCTTTACAAAGCACTAATTTTATGTCGGGGTCCCAATTTTGGTCCCAAAATTTTTTTTTTTTATCTCGTGAAAGAATACAAATTTTAGGTCGTGTCCCGATTTTGGTCCAAACTTTTATTTGTCTCATAAAAAGGTACCGACCTTAAGTCGGATTCTAACTTTGATCCAAATTTTTGGTTGTCTTATAAAAAATCATCAACTTTTAATTCGTACCCAAATCTAACCCATGTCAAGTTTTCTTCCAGTGATGCTGTTAAAGATTCGACGTGTCATTCCACGTGTATCCGACAAAAACTTAAAGGAAACTAGATTTGAGTACCGTCCGAAAATTAATGCTTTTTCATGAGACAAAAAAAATTTTGGATTAGATTTGGGACGCAAGTTAAAATTTGTATTGTTTTAAGAGATAAAAAAAAATTCGAGCCAGAATTGGAACATGAGTTAAAATTTGTACTTTTCAAAAGAATTGGGCCTTTTTAAAAGGGGTTTCTTATAATATTATATATATGCACGTATGTGTGCACGTATGTGTGAACATGCTCCATCAAAATCAAAGGATCTAGTTGATGGGGTTGAGATATTTTCGGTTCTGGACCACGGCGATAATAGAGAGGGGGGTCCCCACATCATAGAACCAATTATTTATTTATTTATTTATTTATTTATTTATTTATTTTTTTATTATTATTATTATTATTATTATTATTGTTGTTGGTAATACTGTACTAAAATGTGTGAACCGACTGGATAAAACAACAATCAACAACTTGGACTGCCCATGATACGCCGTATCCCCCTTTCTTGCTTCATCTTCTTCTTGCCCAACCTCATTTGGTCTCTTCTTTAATAATTGTCACCTTTTTTTTGATTTTCCAATGTCAAAAAGAGTTTGAAGAATCTATAATACCGTGATTATATTCGAGGTTTAATCCCGCGAAATACCTCAAATTGGTACACATGTGATAATTTTATCCCAAATTAAATTTTTGACCACCAAAAACTCCAAACCGATACACCTGTGACAATTTCACCCTTAATTAGTTTTCGTTAAATTTTACTATCAAATTTCTGAGTTAAATGACACGTGTCAGTTCATGGGTGTATCAATTTAGGGTTTTACGCCCATTTATTATAGGAGTACCAGTTTATAATTTTTCGTGGTATTAATCCAATTTAATGGAGAGTAAATTTGTTAGAAATATATCAGTTTGGGGTTTTTCGTGGTCAAAAAATTAATTTGAGGTAAATTTGTCCCAGGTGTATCAATTTAGGGTTTTTCGTGGGACTAACCCTATATTCAATGCTGTTATCTACACTCCATTTATTTCATGAAAAATGAATTACTTGCATAACATTTTCCTAAAAATTATCGTTTAACTTAATTAGTTACTGAAAAATGTTTTCATTATTGACAGTGATTTATGTCTAGACATTTTCGCGAACGATGAAAATATTTTTGGTTCATTCATTTCCGTAAGGATTACAAGCGATCATTTCTTAAATCATTCGTTTTTTGCGAAACGTACGTACCTTCAATTTCATTTACAGTGACGAGAAGGAGGAGGAGGAGGATTATTCAAAATTGGACAACATTTTGAGAAGAATCGATGTGATTTCACGATGCCGCTTAGGAACTATCCCCTTAAATAATCGTAACATAACTTAAATAATCGCGAGAAACGGAACTTATAATCAGTAATTGACCTCAATAATCATAAATTCCTATGTGTCCATGTCAATGATAGTTATTTACCTCGAGAGATAGTAAATTAGTTCAAGTTCTCGTAAACTCGAAGGTTTAAATCATAACAATTTCTATCGAGAAATGACCGTGACATTTGTTTCGAGTTCACAAGTTAGTGGAGCTTATCCTTAAGTAATAATCCTCGTTATTCGTAATTGTCTTAATTTATTGTGAAATTGACGATCCCTTTAATAAATTCCCGTAAAAGTCCGTAAGTTATCACTTGATCGATGATCCGTTACATTTTATTAAAAGTTTTATTAATAATTGTCCCAAAAATAATTAACACCTCAGCAAAAGAAAGCTTGTCATTTTCAAGGTACGGTACCAGTCTAGCAAGACAACCCTTAATCGGACACCCGTTAACAAAATCATTTTTAATTATTGATCGGACGGTCGAGATATTTCGGCTTTGGATTCAATGGCCCATATTATCCCCTAGCGGACTATAAATGTATTTTTTTTCCGAGGGCAAAAAGGAATAAAAGGAGAAAAATAGGAAGAGAACAAAAATTAAACAAAAGGGACCGGTCTACTCATCCGCCCAATCACAGCCACCTCGTGACTTGCGGCCCATTTAATTTACCATTTTGTCCATTGCCGCGCCGTCATAATTGGAAAAAAAAAAAACTAACTCTCCTTTCAAAATTTAAAAAAATAATTTGAAAGTCGATCCCATACGAAAAAACATTTTCAAGTGAATATTCAAAAAATGAATTTTCAATTTCTCGACCTTAGAGTAGAAAGGAATTATTCTCGATGTTTTCGTTATGGATAAGAATCTAATTTGCTGCAAAACTAATTAGATTTTGCAAATCTCGCTTGAATCGAGAAATTTTCTAGTTTTACGAATCAAATATACTCCCTATAAAAAAAAATAAGCTAATTTTCGTTGGAAATTACAATAGGATCTAATTGGGCTCGCTCCTCTTTTCAAGTTTCCACGATTTTATAATTAAGAAAGGTCGGGACAGTGAATCGAATCTCAACTTAACATTATCATCATGAAAATCTCGTATCAATTCACATCACGTCATAGCTACTCGATGGATCAGGAAATCAAAATCGAGATCGCTATTATAATCCCACCTTTGTGTCAAAAATCAGAATGTCTCTATACGAGGTAGAATTAGCGAGGGAAAATGACACATATAGTTATTGAAATTTGGCTTGATGAGCAACTTGTTAAATGTAGTTCTTAAACTTTTGCCAACTATGCAATGTCGTCTATAACTTTTAATTTGTTGAATGTGATCCTTGAACTGTAGCCTATTGTGCCACCCAATATGTAATGTCATCCTTGACATTTTAATTTGTTCAATATAGCCCTTGAACATTTAGTATATATTCAATTTAGTCATTAGATTATATGAAAATGTGCAATGTTGTCCCCGAACTTGAATTAATGGAATGATAGCATCAAATACTTTGTATAATCTTAGGACTAAACTGAATATTTACCAAAAGTTTAAGAACGATATTGCACTTTGTACTAAAGTTCATGAACTATATCGAGCAAATTAAAAATTTCAGAGACGACATTAGATTTCGGCTAGCTCGCTTCGCCTCGCCTCGCCTCGTATTTAATTAATTTAATAATTTTAAGGGGGAAAAAAAACACACTGGAGCATAAAAACGGCTGGCGGCACGTCCAATCCCAAATATGGAAGGGTAGATTTTTTTCTATGTCAGCAAGTTTCATCTACTCCTTTCTTCTGTATCTCGTCTCCTTCCTCGCCGTGTCTCCGACGAATGCCATTGCCCAAAAAGCCCTCTCAAAGTCCCCCGCCTTTCTCGCCGGAACACTCCCCGACTGCTCACGCCGGCGCCGAGACGCCGTCGCCGAACCTCGGAGTCTCCGAATCTGCAGTTTTTGTCTTCTGGGTCTGCGTGAATACATTGGAAGCTTCGAGTGGGAGTGATGTGTTTTGCCTGCGTGCGTGTCTGACTGCGTGGTCACAGCGTCCTTTTTGAGCTCGGATTTCCGGGTTTTTTTTTCCCTTTTGATTTGCTCTAAAGTTTTGCTCTTTCGCTCGAGTATTTTTTTTTTTTCGAACTCCAGCTTTGGAGGGAAGCTTGGCTTCTCAATTCGTCGAAACTAAGTGTGCCTGCGAGAATTTTGGGAAGTTAAATCGCTTCGTGGTAGGTGAGTTTCTGCTGGATCTTATAGTTTACCTTCGTGGCTGCCCCTTGTAGGGTGGATTTATGTATCGTGTGATGTTTTGTTCTGTTCTCTGCCCTCTATAATTTAAGGGTGAACTGATGCCGACGTAAAGGGCTAAAGGGTTGCATCTGGGATGGTATCCTGGTTTGTGGCATTGTTATTAGTATTGTGGTGAGTTCGTCGAGCAAATACAGTTCAGAATAGCCTCAGCTCTTTTTTTTTTTTTTTGTAGATTGCTCTATGACTGAGGCACGCAGAAGCTGGTAGAGTTGAAACTGTTTAAAGGGAAAGGCAAATTGTGGGAACAACATTCTACTTTGCATTTTGTTTGCATTTTCTTTTTACGGTGCTTGTTTGTTAGATATTGATAAAAGGGTACTTTTAACTCATCAAATTTACTAAACAGAATGTGCTCTTCAGTTGTCTGCAGAAATTGCGAAGTCTTTTTAGGAATGAGTTCAATTGAAAAAAAACTTGATGTGTTATGGCTGGATTCCATGTGCCTAGCTAACTTAAGAGTTGATTTAAAGTTGCTAGTTAAGGTAGAATTATCAGCTGTAAGAAGCGAAGGTAGGTGTGTGACAATGTTGAGATTCGACCTACTCAATTAGAACATGGTGGTGTTTGTTTTTATGTTATCCAGTTAACTTTCTAAAGCTCATTCTTTCCGGTTCCTATATTTTAGGCCAATTCTTTGGTTACGCGGGGTTTGATTTTCTGCATATGTTTGTTCCTCCATTACTGAAAATATGTGGTGTTGTTCTCCGATCTTGAAGACCTCATTTTGGTTATGTTAAAGTGCTTTACTTATGATGCCCTTCACCCTTATTTGCCAGGTGAACATTTTACTCTGCAAGTGAAACAGAATTAGATAACTACCGAGTTCAACTTTATTGTAACGAGGGATTTTTGCTTAAAAGGAAATGCGGCCAGCCTGTATTTTGCTGTAATGAAGAACTCACAGGTTAATAGTCGACTATGCATCTCTCACAACTCTCTTCAGTGTCTGTCTGTGCTACTTTTCATGAGCTCCTCTGGTCATTTCATCTTGCTTTTTTGCTTTATACAGTGGAAGAACCATCCAGTCTTCCTATTTCATTGACTGTTCTATGCCACGACCTCACTTTTGTTCCTGCTATTTCAAGAAAAAGAAGAAAGATAGATTCTGTGAAACTTGCACTTTCCTCACTGCCTCTGAACTTAGAATAATGATGCGGTCCTGCAGAAAGCAATTGTGGCACCCCTAGATTCATTTGCGTATGGTGTGGTTGGCTTGTTTTGACAAAAAGTTTTTCTTGTGCTAAGATGAGAGCGGAACTGGATTAACATCACTAACACGTGTGGTATATAGGTCTTGCTGACAACCATCCAAACTTATGTAACGACATTTGGACTTTAGCTGACTACACAATGTTACAGTTTGGTTTTTAGGTTCCGTTCAATTTCTAAACAGTCGGATGTAGGTCAGATACTGTTGAACAGCCCTGCTGCAAATTCCTTAATAACTGTTTCTGCGTCCAGAAACAATCGCTTTATTATTATTTTTCTTTCACCTGATGACTAAGATTTTGTTTCATTTTTAAACTACAGGGCGCACAAGAAATACAATCTTCAAACCAATGTTCTCATGATTCTCAAAGTGACCAACAGAACAACCAGGGAGCAGAGGCTCCCTTGGCGGACTCCAGCTCAATTTCTACTTCAAGCAATGAAACCAAAAAGGTTTCGCGCAAAGATATAGAACTTGTAAGCTTACTCATCCTTCTTAAACTTTAAGGCGGTAGATATATCTCTTCTTTTCTTTTCACTACTTTTTTTCCTATTTAAATTATCAGCCCTTAAAAAGCACTAATTCTTGTTTGTACTTTCTGTAATGTGGCTTTTTGTAGGTCCAGAATTTGATAGAGCATTGTCTACAACTTTATATGAATAGACATGAAGTTGTCAAGACACTGTTGAATCGGGCGAGGATAGATCCTGCATTCACGACACTAGGTGCGTATAGGGGGACACTACTGGAAGTCCTTGGATTGGGCTACAGCCCATCTTCTCTTTAGATACTTAACTGGATTTTATGGTTTTGGGTTTTGTTCTTTTGGAGGTCCTTCTTGATGAGAAATCCTTGTTTTTCCCATTTGGTCGCCTTTGTATCTGCATCAATCACCATATATTAGGAAAAGTTCTCGTAACTCATTATATTTTTTCTTGCGACGTTAATTGCTAAGAAATGATAGGAAAACTATGCTGCTGCCACTTGTGTCGTAACATCTTTTTGACTTTCATATGCTTCGGATTATTTTACCGCTTTCTTTTCAATTTTCAGTTTGGCAGAAGTTGGAAGAAGAAAATGCTGATTTCTTCAGGGCGTACTATATCAGGTTAAAACTGAAAAAGCAAATTCTGCTGTTTAATCACCTACTAGAGCACCAGTATCATCTCATGAAGTATCCTGTGCCTCCAAAGGTCCCTCTGGCCCCTATACAAAATGGAATTCACCCAATGCCTGGTAAGTTAACTTCTAATTACTTGGTTGGAAAGACATGTGACTGAGATAGAAGTCTGTAAGAACAAGGATATCTCAAAAGATACATACTCGTTAGTCGTGAAGAAAGTAAAGGTGCATTCCATATGTAGCATTAGTGCTCTGAAAGTTATACATATTTCATGTGTATGTCACTGGGAATCTATTGTAGTATAGCTATGTTAACCTTTTTTGGGAAGAGGAAACAATTGTGAAAATAATTAATGTTGGAAGAAAAGGCAATTGGATTTAAAAGCTTGAAACACAAGAGAGAATGGAGAGACTGAATACAGGGAGGAGTACTTCCCTCTTGGATCCACCAATCTGATGCCCCTAATTGCTATGAAGTTGGGTTTTGAGTTTCACAACTTACCTAATGAAAACAAATGATTAAATCAAACATCAGTATGACTGCATGTTGTTACAGTAAATACCGCTTTCTTCTGCCAAGCTAAAAAAAAAACGTACTTATCCCTTCCCTGCCGACTTTCACTCCACTTTCGTTCCACTCATTTTCCGCCCATTTCCGTGCTTCCAAACAATAATAGGCTGTATGAGCTAATTTTCATCATAAGCCGCCAGGGGTAGGAAAGAGCATGTTGGCCTTGTTTTTATGCTCAAACATGGAGTTAAGGCTTATATAATACGGCAACATGTAGTTAAGGTTGTATGAGCTAATTTTCATAATAAACTGTCAAGGTGAGGCAAGAGGAAGCTGAGGGCTTGTTTTTTTGCTCAAACATGAAGTTAGTTTCCATTGTACATGAAGTTTTGTATATGCAAATCATACTTTTTCCTTATCCCGATACGAATGCTAATCTCTGTTGTTGTGCTTTGCTCACATACTATTCAATGGTCGAGTTCATTCATAGGGGATATGGCTTGAAGTATTAGGTCCAAGCATTATTGTTGTCAACTACTATTCAACTCAACTTGTGTTCAGTGCAGTTAACAATTTACCCATGGGATACCCAGTGCTGCAGCAGCCTGCAATTCCAGCACCAGGTCAACCTCATATCAACCCCTTGGGCTGTGGAATTTCTAGCTGTCATGTAGTGAATGGAGTTCCTGCACCAAGCAACTATCATGCTATGCGTGTAAATTCAGGGAATGAGTAAGTACCAATACATTGTCATCATAATCTACTTCATCATACTTGGCAACGACATTGATTTTACTTTCATCCTGGACCAATGTCCTGCGTATCCTGATCTATAGCTTTATACCAATTGGAATTGGGGATTGATTGTGTACCGTGTGGCAAATTGCTCAGTATTTTACATATTGCGGCACTGTCCTTTTAGCTGATCCACTATGTGTTAATTGCAATCTTTGTGCATATAATGGCATGGGGCACGTGGTTTGTCCCTCACCATGGTACTTATAGCAAAATTTAAGAGCAATTGCTGGGCATAGTAATGTTTACAAGCATGAGTTATTTGGTGTCGATACAATAATTTGGATTTGTGGGTTGTCATTTAGTCCTCGGCATTTAGTATTGAGCTGTATTCACTCATACTAAATCCTTCAATTCTCTCTTTTCTTTCATGAGGTGAAAACATGATGTTTTACCATTGGTAGTATGACTTGTCTAGGCGATTTCTATGGATGTTTGGTTCATCTTTTCTCATGCATTGTTTAAGCCAAGAATTTTCCTGTGTGACATTGCTTGTGCATAGTTGAAATTTACCTCACTCTCTTCACTGGTATTAACAACTATCCTTTTCCTTGATTTAATATGGCAATAAATAGCAGCACAGCTGATGCATCTTCCATCATTCCTCCAAGCAGTGCCATGTCATCCATGTCAGAGATGCCTGTGAGTCCTACATCAGCGGCTTCTAGTGGTCATTTCCCCTTCTCTGCATCCGAAATATCTGGATTGGGTGTAGATACGTCAGCACTTGATACGGCATTTACAGCTGATGTAGCAAGTTCAGTAGGATTGCAGCTTCCACCTGACGGGGGACCTGGGAATTCAAGAGACTCTCTTAGGTCATTGGATCAGATACAGTGGAATTTCAGTCTCTCAGATCTAACTGCTGATTTTTCAAACTTGGGAGGTATGTGGTTCATAATTTTTCCTACGGACATAGGTATTTGGTGTTCTGATGGCTTAAGTGTCCATTAACTCCATTCCTTTGACCTATGGCTCTATTATATCCTTACTCGTACAAATCTTTTGGGATATCTTTAATTGGAATTGCAGATTTAGGGGCCCTTGGAAACTACTCTGGTTCACCATTTCTTCCCTCAGATTCGGAAATTTTTCTGGATTCTCCTGACGGGGAGGATATAGGTACGAATGCCTTCTCTTTTTTATGATGATGAATCCCATGCATCTACAACCCATGTATGGAAAATATTCACATGGAGACTGCTTTGAGTTGACAAATGTCTAGCACGACGGAGAGGCAGAACCCGAGTGATTGTCTTATAGTCCTTTCCAATAAAAAAAGAGAAACACGTCACTCCTTGCCTATTTACTAGCTGTCCACGCTTGAGTCGCCCTCAGGGAGTTCTATTGTGGAAGACTTTAGAACCTTATGCTAGTATTACTTATATGACAAACATGATGCACCAGATTTGTCCTCTTTTGTAGGAAGGAGCTCAAATATCTAGGTTTCTTTTTCCCCTTTTCATAAGTAAAGTGGAGATGAGAGAGGACAAGGAGTGAGTTGGCTTATTGGTCGAAACCACTCGAGCAACGCAAGATGGGGGGAGATCTTATTGAGCCCATTTAAATCTCAAATTATCTAACTGCTTTTATAGATTTGGAAGAGTCCCCCTTTTTGGTTCATTTTGCACTATACTGTATTTGCTCAATAGATTGCATTTCCATCCAGTTGGAACGTGTGCTCTACTTAAAATATTTTACCTTGTACTTCTGCATGCAGTAATTGTCCATAATGATATTCTAACTCTCTTCTTTTTGCTACAGTGGAGGAGTTTTTTGTAGATGTCCCTGGGCCAGCAGGTTCCCAATCAGATGAAGAAAGGTCCTAGATCCAAGTGAGACCTGATTTGTTAGGGTAGTTTAATGTTTAGGTTAGAAAAATAAGTCCTTGTCATCCAATATACTGGCTTTATAGGTTTTTGTCAGTGACCAATGGGGAATTCTTTACTTTCACTTAGCTTGTCAGTCACAATGTGGGCTTCTGTACTTGCATTTACTTTAATAATCATTAGCCTCAGATTGAAACTATTCTGCGGTAACTTTAATTTTCTCAGATTAGCCCAGGTTATGGACCTATTCATGTACCTCATTGTACATTGTCTTGGCAGAATTGCTGCGGTCACAATCCTTTCTTTCTCAACATTTTTGCCGTGTTAATTATGTGGTGGTATGGTATATGCCTATTCTAGTTCGGAGCGCGGACACTTTTCCACCAGTGCCATGGTTGATAAACACTAAAATGGAGTTGCTTGATGAAAATGCAGCAAGAGCAAATATCTACTGCTTTTCCTGATCCGATTCCCTGTTGGGGTACCAATGTTGAATATCTTTATGACGATACCGTGCGAGATCAATGTTATTATGTGACATGCTAAATTTGTTTTTATCGATGCCATAATAAAAGGCATTTGAATTGATCCTTACAAGGTATGAGCAACAACCGTGATCGGAACGCGTGTTGACTTCGAGGGGATGGTCGAATCTTGGCAAAAAATCTTTTGGTTGTTTATTCTTATAGCTTCCAAATTATCATAATGTCAAGTGCCCTTATTCCATGCTATTGCGCCTTTTAAGTGCGTGCTACCCATCAAGGTGGTCATTAATTTCTTTGATACTTACTGGAACAATGACAATAAGAATTCACTGTCCTATAGAGCTGCATAAAGTCGTTTTCTAAGTGATTTACGCAAGTAAAATTGTGTTATAATTAATTTGGACAAAGCTGTCACACTAAGGATTCTGACCCCTGACCTTACCCAATACAATTTGCCTTTTTTTGACGTTGCCTCGTTCTTGGATGTTGGTTGATTTGGACGCCCCTGTGATGTTGGTACACGTCCAGGATCAGAAACCAACCGCGAGCATCTCAACTTTGATGAAAAGTGTAAAATGCAAATCGCGATAACCCTCAGCTGGTGCGGGTGAGCGGCACACTGGGCCATGATAGATATCTAATTGATTGTGCGACAGAAAGATATCAAATATTTCGTAAATAGTACCAATTTGAGGAATTGCCAGCTGGTTTTATGCCATTAATCCTTGCCTCAGACTTGAGACTGCGGCAACATATAGTCACAACCCAACAATTCAAGTGATACAGGCTTCCCCAATAAATGATTCTGCTCTTTCTTTGCCAGCACTTACGATCCTGTTGGATGGCGCAAAAGCCAACATAATTCTACGACCTGAAAAGTTTGCATACTTCTATTCTACTTCTAATATGTACATGTCACGTGTGAATTGCTGTCACTTTTTACAAATTTTGGGATCCAAACTTGGCATCAGTTCCTCGCTTCGCGAATAAGGTGCCTGCAGCTGGAACATCAGCATGCTGAGATACTGTTGTGGAAAGTGATTGAAAGTTGGTATTCCCAATAAACCAGTAGAGAGCCCATTTGAGATTGCACAGGGTATACTTTAGAGCTTTCGTCCAATTCTCCTGCTTATTGAAACTTTGCGTGATGGAGTAGTTCTCGACTTTGTCATTCTCAATCCTGCAAGAACATCTCATGTTTAGTTTTTCTCAGCAGTGCGAAATGCAGTATTCACTCAGCATTCTGAAGCACCCTTGTGTGCACACAATGAAAGTACTTATAGGTCCCGATGTTCACAGATTGACTACGAACTAGGGTGTAAATAAGATTTCTCAATAGATCACATCCGTAATTGATAACCGCTACTGTTGCAAGCCATTTCCAGAAGTTGCAAAAGTTGCTTCTTGCTTCAACGCAACATCCATTAGCAAATCATATTTTTTGCAAAAAGCAAACGAGCCACGTGGTCAATTCTGTCAGGTGATCCACATGTTCAAGAGTCAAATAATATTCCTACTATAAATAGCACAAGGAAAAGAAATATATTTTTTTCTTACGACCATGAGGACATCTACTAGCAGTCCCGTCAGGATATATCAAATCAACTGATTAACATCATAACAGAAAATTCGATCGAGACAATTATGTACATATTGAAATAATGAGATGGTGCATTCCATAATTCAAAGTTATATCTTCTTATAGGAAAAGACACTTACTTGTATGGCAATTTGAAACATTTCTCTGGTGGTATATTGTTCTCTTGATCCTTTGATTTTGCAAACTCAGCAAAGTCTTTGAGGCATGTCAAGAACAATGTCATAGCCTTGTCATAACGAGTGCTCCAGAACAAGTTCACGGGACCAAACCTACAAATTAAAATTTAGGTTAAACCACAAATGAGAAATCTACACAGAGAACTACAACCACGACCAGATGTCTGACAATTACATTTTAATTTAGCTTCCTAAAATTATTCCTGATCCTGATAAGCGTGAAGAGGTGACAAACGTGACAAGTTAATCCTTAGTGAGGTTTTCATAAGGAAAAAACATTAGTTACATGCTAGACTTATGGCAAGATGTTTCTTTTAACCTACAGCATCTACTTTAGGGAGGCATGGCTCAACTTTGAGATGCACATACAGGCTAAATGATACGAGAAGATTCGGTTCAATTGCGGAGAAACTTATCCGTACTTACAGCTCATAAGAATTGTTGCTGAGATCCATAATCCGGGGGTAGCTTCCCATGGGAAGTATCTTTATACGGTATCTAAACAACCACTCAAGGGAGAAACAAAGCAAAACCTTCAATAATTTAACTCAGGCACAATGATGAGTGCAAGAGTAGAGCTTGCATTTATCTACTTGGGTGAAAAGGTGAATGCAAGAGTAGAGTTTGCATTTATCTATCCTTTTGTCTTTTAATGATGAAAATTCCCCGAGCTTTTCTGCTGAAGATCATGAGAGGCCAGGATAAGCAAAATTCTCGAAACCACAGACCACGGGAGCATTGAGTTCAATCTATATTGTTTCAAAATGGCACAAAAGCTAGTCAACTTATGGTTGGATCAGAACCTAAGAGATGACTGAGTTTTTTTATAAGTTACACTAAGGCAGAGGCATATCTGCCACAAATAATGTTTATATATGTGCATTGCTCCTAATCATATCATAAAGATACTGAAGTATTTACATCACCAAAGAAGCTAGCTAGGACGTGAGAATTCCCAACATGCCACCTTCAAAATATATCCACCAAAGTAAGAATCTGGAACAAGACACACGTAGAGGGGATCAGGACACTAACGTCCTCAAAGAATTTAAAACAATAGCAATTAACAAACTCATGCACATGGTATGCTGTGGCCAATTAAAGCATGAAGACAAACTTTAGATGAAATTAAGTAAAAGGATACGGAAACTTGGGCCGAAAATATTGACACATTGTATGTAAGAGGAGGCAAGCTTGGCCCCAGGCAGCATTTATCTCATCCCACTCAACCTGAGCAATTCAACACAAAGTGAAAGGACAAAGTCAAACCCTTTAACAGGTTGAAGCAGGTGAAACATAGGCTTAAAATATAGAGACATGCTAGACGAGGCTGAGAATCACTCGTGACTGCACTGAAAGAATCCAAGCAAACTTTTTTTAACACTAGTCCTTGGAAAAAGTAAGAGAACAAAACCACAACATCAACAATGTAGCTGGAAGCCTGAACTTCTAAAATCGTGGTGCACTAAATTTCAGGTGAGGTGAAAATGACGCCCATACCTCATCAATAGCCTTTCATGAAAATCTTTCTGACCTTAGACCAGAGAATCAGGGAAAAGGTTGTCAAATGTACTGAATGCAACTCACTGCACAGCTTTTGTTCACTATGTGTCCATAATTATGTAGCAAAAACCTATTATCTCCAAATACTCTCATTAAGTTTTACCATAAATAAAATCTCATGGAGGTTGCATCAGCAAAAGTACCTGCAGCAGGAAAGATATTTCCTGGAAGAGGATGGATGTTTCACCAAATGTTTTTGACTCTTAAAGAGTTGTCCTAAAAGCAAAGGACATTCACGTCCCACTACATGATTTGATTCATTATGCATAAAGAAGAAATAGGAAGAGCTACAAATCAACCATCCTATACAACACATTCAAAGCTTGATCGAAGTATTTTCTCACAGGAATTTTGGGAAGACGTCCTAGTCGAAAATTGTTTATTGTCCCAAACTCTCCATCATGCCAGATGGGAAAGGCATCATTGAGGACATTGGTTCGCTTCAGCAGCTCTAGATGTGCTTGTGAAACTTCAATCTTTGCCAAGATTGCATCTCTCTCTTCCTGTAGTCAATTTTTTTTTTTTTTAAATTTCAAAATTTTCAAGTTAGAAAATCAAGTGTGAAGTTCCAACACGAAGGGAAGATACATCACTGTTGCATCGCCTGTACATGCTTTTCACAATGCACGTGCTACGTGTTTGTACAGCAAACACCGCAAAGTCACACGAAACAAATTGCAATTGTTCGTAAGTGGAAATGGAGTTAGCAATTCACCCAGGAAGAATCTAATTTGGTTAGTATGAAAAAAAAGCCAGATTCACTTGGACAGATTATATGCTTCAAGCACAACTTATTGAGAATGATAACTGAGAATCAAGTAACTTTGATGTCACAGAGGCAAAGGCTGCATAATTTGAGCTTTCGCCTAACACTTTCAGTCCACTGATCTTCTACATATGGAGATTTCCAAAGAGAGTTGCAATCGTACTCAGAAAAGAAATTTTGGAAATGCAGACTTCATTTCTTATGATGCTATAGAAGGATTCTAGATTTTGGATAACAAAACAGTAGTGACAGCATAACAATCTTTGGGACAATGTAAGGATAAACAATCAATCGTGAAATTATAAAAGACAATCTCAAGAGACAAACCATGCCTAGTTAGCTTTTTTGCAGATGGATTGTGGGAGCCCGTTTAGACTGCCCAGCAATTATAATATCGAGAAAGTCAAAGGATTTTGAATTTCATTTATCTTCTTGTCAATGCAAGTTGATAACCTTAAGTTCTTTCAAACTGATCAAACCAATTGAGAATAGTATAATTGTCATGAATAGCATGAGAAGGGTGCAATTCACGAACTATAGAGTATGGACAGACCTGGTGTGAAATCAGCTGAAACTGAAAATTGTTAAACTCGTGCCAATACCTGATGCACAGAAATTCAAGAATGATAAATAACTAACAAAGTTTTGATTCCCAAGTCTATGAGTAAGCAAGATCCAAAAAAAATATGAGGACCGGTATTCTTTTCACCAGTGGAGACAG